ATATTAATAAATAATTCAAAAAAGTCTAATTAATTTAATATATTTATACGTCAAGTAAAAAGTTTTTGAATAAATATAATATATTATTTAAAAGATAATATTTTTGGTAAAAAAAAGAACAATTCTTATTTCTCTTTTTTCAAAAAACACATATTTTTTTTTAAATGTTAGCGAGATAAGTTGTGTTCTACTAGTTTTATTGATATTGGTATATTAATGAACAATTTAGAATTTTTTTAATTCATTTAATACATTTATTAAATAACATGTAAAATATCTAAATATTAAAATTAAAAATACAGTGTTTAATAAGAACTAATAGATRCTATAATAAAATAATTTTGAAAGTACAATTATGTAATAAGAAAGTCACATCATTATAGTACATGTGGACAGCCTACGTGTATAATGAGGTGGCATGGAAACCTAGTATAATGGGTAAATTTAAATCAAAAAGTTACCCAATGCTATAATGGGTAAAAAATTTAAAGTACAATGTCCTAATAAAAAATAGTTTGAAAGTACATTGCTGTAATAAGAAAAACTGAAAGTACAATGCTATAATAAAGAAAAATTTATGAAAGTAGATTGTTATTTTATGCATTTTGTCCAATACATATATATGTGGATGTTCAAACGAGAACCCCTATAATTTACGAAAACGTGAGAACAACCCAATAACCTCAAACTTTTTTAATTAATAAATTAACTTATACTATATTATAAAGCATTTGACAAAAACACTTCAAAACCATTTTTTTATGCATAAAGTACTGTTTATTAATACATGTTACTTAAATTTTAAGATTACAAGTAGATTGTGCGTAAGTACAACTTATTAAAGCTTCATATCTGAATTCGTGTAACTAACTGCAGATAAACATAATCAAATACATGATAAACATCTCATTTTGGATATAAAAAATCTACAATATAATTAGGATAATCATTGAACAGAATACTTAGTTATTATTTTTATAAAATATTATATTGTTAAACCAAAAATAAATTATTTTATTATTAAACTTAAATTAAATTATATTTGAAAAAATAAATTAAAGAGATTACATAAAAATGAGAACTTTCAGATAGTTGATTTGGTATTAACATTGATATTTTTTTTTTCAAAATGTTTATGAATTCTTCAAATTTATATTTTATTCAAAAATAAAATCATTATTGCTTTCTTAAAAACACACAAAATCGTATTGTAACATCGACAGGGACAAAAAATGAAATAGAACATTAAATCGAGATATATCTCGCTGCATTTCGTTAGTACCCTTCTAGTATAAATAAATTAATAAGGATAGTAATGTAATTAAGTAATTTTTATAATTTTTATTTTATTTTGATTAATTATAAGTATCTCTTTTTTTCTGGATTGATCACGTTCGTTTCCACTCTCTTCTCTTCCCTTGTGATAATTGTGTGATTGTGTAACCATAACCTATCGAAACCATGATCAATCAAGTGTAACCATAACTTATCGAAACCATGAGTAATCGTTGTGATAAATGCGTGATTGTCTAACCCTAACCGATCGAAACCATGATCAAATTGAGTGCGTAAGTGATGTTATAATAGTGATATCACATGATTATCACACTCATATCACACAAATCGTTTAGTGGATTTCGCCCATAATCGTTGTGATAAATATATGATTGTCTAATCCTAGCCTATCGAAACCATGAGTAACTGTTGTGATAAATGTGTGATTGTCTAACCCTAACCGACCGAAACCATGATCAAATCGAGTGCGATGTTATGATAGTGATATGACATGATTATCACATCCATATCACACCAAATCGGTAGTCGATTTCCTAAGTTAACCCTAGCCGAGCAGAATCCGTGTGATAATTGTGTGATAATCACATAATTATTACACCCAAATCACACTAAATCGTGTTGAAATAAGCGATAACCATAATAGCCCGTTACGTTATCTAGATTATTAAGTGTAGTGTGATTGTGTTTTTAAAATTTTATCACTTTGAATTCCAGTATTACTCTTTTGCCTCTCAATTTTTTTTTGAATTGTTTTAATTTCATTTTTAATTTAAAAAATCTTTTAGTTTTTATTGTTATCACAATATGAGGTTAATAGGTTGTTCTCGCGTTATCGCAAATCACAGAGGTTCTCGTTTAAACCTTTCCCTATATGTGTGTGTGTGTGTGTGTTAATTAATTATATAGGAAGAGTTCGAACAAGAACACCCTTGTTTTTACGAAAATACAATAACACTGTTGGACCTCCAAATTAATTAACACATAATAAAAAATAGAATAAATGAAAATAAAAATTAATTAATTAGCACATATAAAATTACTGAAACTAAATCAGTATTTATCCATAGTTTTCTGTTATCCTAGATTTATCTTTATCTCTTAAAATTTGTTATTATGATTGGAGACTTTTTATGTCGATGTGTCGGTGGTCGATAATGATATGATTTTGCTGTGATGATGATTTGATGAATTGAAGATTGTTTTATGGTGTGATAAAAGTCTAATAATTAAGTGATTTTCATGTGATAAAGTTGTGATAATCGAAAACTAACGATGATCATGTCTACATTAATCGACATGTCTGTTCATCATGTGATTTTCTGTGATAATTATTTGATACCGGTTATGTATTATCTGTATGATAAAATCTCTAAAATAAAGAATCTGTTGAAGTTGATTATAATTTATTTTAGAGATTTTAACTTTTAATTCTTTATTTTAAAGAAATTATAGATAAACTGCTGGAGATGCTCTAACAAACTATGTTTAATCTCTTACATAATTTGTAACAAAACTTATTCTGTCACCGCACGTTGCATAGTGCCACACACCAATTTATTTACAATACAAAACTAAAATTTAAAATCTAAAAAAAAAATTACATTCAACTCCAACAGATTTTTTATTTTAGAGATGTTAACATAAATTATTTCATTATAATATTCTCTGATTTATCAACCCAATACATTTAGAAAAACTTTATATAAAAATAATAATAGGACAAATTGCATGAAAAAATAACGTACTTTAACTTGATTCATATTTTGGGTAACGTACTTTTCAAACTTCCATTTTGGTAACTAAGATGTAAAGTTTTAAACATTTAAGTACCCAGATAATTGATCGAAACATTCAAGTTTTAAATTCTTTTCTAAATTTGAAGGTTTTTCATATAGGAAAAGTCTAAAAAACTCAATGGACTTTAGTGTTTTGAATGATTAAATCATTGGACAATTTTTTGGAACAAATAAGTCATTGGACATTCCAAAACATGTTAAACAACTCCTTGGACTTTCTAGAACCTACTACATACATTCTTATGATGTATACAACTGGTTAATGTGATAAAATAATGAAAAAAGTCCGAAAAAAACCCAATGAACATTCATATTTTGAGCGATAAAGTCCCTTAACATTTTTGAACCAAAAAAAATACTTACATTATATAAAATAACACACATATAACAAAAAAAATACTTACATTTAAAAAAGATTTTTGATAAAATTTATTTTAATTAAAATTAAAATCTTTTTTAAATATAAGTATTTTTTTGTAAATGTAAGTACTTTTTTGTTATATTTGTTTAATTTTATAGATCTAAATACTTTTTGGTTCAAAAAATGTTTAGGGACTTAGTTGTTCAAAATATGAAAGTTCATTGAGTTTTTTTCAGACTTTTTCTATTATTTTATCACATTAACCAGTTGTATAGGTTATAAGGATGTATGTAACAGGTTTTAGAAAGTCCAATAAGTTGTTTAACATGTTTTGGAATATTCAAAAACTTATTTGTTCCAAAAAATTATCCAATAACTTAATTATTCCAGACACTAAAGTTTATTGAGTTTTTTTAAACTTTTCTCTTTTTATAATTTCTCTATTTTAGACAACATTATAAAAAATATATTGAAGCAATAAAGAAAAAAACAAAACATTTCATTTCATTTTTGGATGAACAACCAATCACGGACCGGTGAATACCACCGATTTGACCCTCTGAACCGGGTCGGGCAGAAATTAACCGGTCCATTGTAACAATGAAGTCGCATTAAGGTGTCCTCCAAGTATCCACCAATCAACCACCGTTCCCTACCCCCATCTCACCAAACACCACCACCGGAATCCATGGCCGTCCCTTTCAATAACTGTCGTCATCCATAGCTTTCTAATACTACAACTCTAGTTTTTCCTACAATCGATTTGATCGACAAACTTTCTCTTGATTTCATCGCAATCAAACATAATCATGGCGACGACGATGCCATCTCAATCTCCTTCCTCTTCCTCTGAAGACACCACCACCAACAACAACATCGATTCCACGCCGTTGCTCAACACCAGCACCACTTCCGATGCGATCTTCCGTAGTCGTCAATTTGTCAGGGGTACTCCCTCCCTTCGTGGCGCTGCGAGGTTCCTTCGTCGCGCCAGTAGCAGACGGATGCTCCGTGAGCCGTCGATGCGGGTGAGGGAATCGGCCGCTGAGCAAATCGAAGAACGCCAGACCGATTGGGCTTACTCACGCCCGATTGTGATTCTGGACTTGATTTGGAACCTCGCGTTTATTGTTGTTTCGATATCTGTACTGATTATGAGCCGAAAGGAGGATCCACAGAGGCCTTTGAGGCTTTGGATTGTTGGATATGCTTGTCAGTGTTTGCTTCATATGGTTTGTGTGTGTGTTGAGTACAAACACAGGTACCAGCAACGCTCGTCGGAGTATGGTGGCAATTTGAGGTCGGAAGTTAATAATGGAAATCCCAATTCCAACTCTTCGAGTTCAGGGAGTGAGGAAAGGGAGAATGCAGCATTTTCACCGGATCGGTCGTCTAATGACGATGATACCAGGTACAATCTCCAACCAAATGTTGCTATGATGATAAGAAAGTAAAGACTAGAGAAGTTAACCTTCCCTGAGTTGTGGAATTTGAAAATTCAGTCGTATCTACACTCATATGTTGCATGTATGCAGTATAGTGATGTAGAAGTAGGAAGTATGGTGATTTACCATTAATATGCAGTGGGTTACCTCAATGGCTGATCAATGTGATTTCCACTGTGAGCCTGAAGTACATCTGTGGGTTGTTACTAGATAAGGTAGATGGGATTTTGATGATGATGGATTTCGACGAGTTGAATCAGGGGGTTTGCTTAATATGGCGTATTGTATAAGATCGAATTGCTTTTATTATAATACCCAGAATTGGTTTTGGTTGAGTGGCTGGATTAAGAATTACCAATACGTCTGTCTTACTTGTTGCATTAACTAGTCAAATTATAGGTTTTATGCAAGCATCTCAATCTTAGCATGATGAAACAGAAGGAAGTTTGGCAAAGAATTCTAGCAAGTAATTAAAAGTCAGAGGATGTATATATATATATAGGGTTGGGTTCCGGTTAGACAGAAAGTTATGGTGAGAAGGGTAAGAAGGGATCTCCACCCTTGGATCAATGCTAATTGATGATCAACAGTAATGAGATGCACCCAAGATCAATTCACGTGAGAAGCGCAATTCATTGGGTGGGGGTGAGATTAAAAGTGATCAAGGGTCCAAATCCCTTCTTACGCTCCTCAGCTTAACTGCTATTCTCACACGATCCTTCGTCTCTCTATATGTAGAGGGAAGTCTCAGCTGGTTCTATAACATGTATTTATAGTCCCCAAAGCTTTATATTTCTGTTGGAATGACGCATGGCAGATATTATAACAAAATTAAAAAAAGGAATGAACTTTTTAGTCGTAAAATAGTTAAGATATGTTATGTATGAGACCAACACGTGCCTGCTGTTGGGCTTAATACCATCAATAACATCCTTCCATACACTTCTATATAAGGTTAGCTTCTTTGGTATATTCTACTTGTTCAATTGTTCTTCAGTACTGGCCTCTTATAACAATATTACCCTACCCCTTCCTTTTCTTACACCCCCCTCAGGCCTCATGTTGAAGTCTCAAAAGTTTTACTGATGGATTCAGGGTCATCATTGGAGATGTGCAAACAATCTCAAGTGTTTTTTCCTCAACTTGTCTTATAGATCGTGTAGCTTCTCAATGCTGTGAAACCAACCTTCTAACTAATATCATTGTTCCTAACGGTATTCCTCATTTTTAGTCCACAACATAATTGTTAATTACATTTCTTTTATTTTCATCTTGTCATCATGTTATTTGGTGGTTCAATATCCCATCAATTATGAGCTTGGTTTTAAAAAGCACGATGCGGTCCGAGGAGGTAAGGGTCCCGGAAGCCGATGCGTGATGCTGATGCGCTCGCATCACGCATGTGATGTGCCCGGTATTCAAAAAATATTTATAAATTAATTCTACATATCAATTTCTACCTTAAAAATACTTACCTATCAAAATACTTCATTTATAACATAAAGTAGTTCAAAGTGGATTAGAATCTTAAAAAGTTCGTGAATTGGAATAACAGAACACACAAACTACTACCATGAAGAACACAACTAAAAAGCCCAACTAAAAAGCCCAACTAAAAACTGAAAAAGGGAGCCCAAACATTAAACATACAGGATGCGCTGATGCATAGGTGATGCACGCATCGTGTGATGCGTAGGTGATGCTAGCGCATCATGGAATCGCAACACATCAGCCCATCTGATGTGTTTCCTCCAGCGCATCAGAGCGCATCACGCATCACGCATCAGAGCGCATTATGCGCACATTTTTAAACGAAGATTATGAGTTATGATACGTTTCATCTGTCCTATTGGACTTACCTTAGCTTTAGCAGAAACTTCTGTCACATGTAACACTTGTAGCTTGTTGTCACTAGTTCTGTCCTACTTGCAATGCTCATCGTAATCAATGAAAAGTGTCTCTCTTAGTTGCTCTGTTAGTAACATGCTTACCATATCTTCAAGTTCCTGCTAACACCGTCACGGTTATACTTTGTGTACCTTGTTTAGTACAACACAATATAAAAACTTCTGATTGAAGGCCTACCATATATTGCCATTTATTTGTTAGGCTCTTTACATGTGGTTTTACCTAACATTTTCCAATTCTCAAGTTTTTCAGGTATGATGACAGAAAAGCTGAGTCTTGATTCTGTTACATACTCATTTGCCTATATATTTTCATGAACACATAATATTTTGTTTTCTTCTACGTAGGCAAGTAGCTAGTTGCCTAGTTGCATATCTTTTCTTGTGAGGACCCTACATCCCAACTACGAGACCTATCCTACTATCTTGTACCAACTCTATTGCTCATCCACTTCTTCATTATTTTGTCAATTCTATTGTCATTTCACCTCAACCTGGTGTACATGTGACACATACTTGAGGAAATGAAGTCCAGGACTTGCTTAGTTCTGAGTTTGTCGATCTAGCTATATGTATTCACTGTATTGGGTTTTTATGCATCACCAAGGGGGTTAAGCCTTGCCCTTAACACATTTTTATGGATGTGCGGATGCAGGTCATTCACTTTCATGAAGCCTGGATAATATTTTGGTTTTTTATGTTAAAAAACTGCAAGTTCTGACACTAGCTTTCTAAGGTTGAGTTGTACTTCTCTTTTATCAATGCTTGGGACATAGCATGCAAGGAAGGATACAGGGAATGGGCAATTGCATAGGCCATGCTTAATTGCATTACTCTCAATAAAGATGTAATGACTTTTCTTGTTGGCTAGAAGCCTAGAATGTTTTTGATTTCTATGGCATTTACTAGCCAACTATTGCCAAGAATAGGATTTTTTAAGTATGTTCTCATATTCAATAGTGATGCAGGACAGATTTTAAGAAGAAACACTATGATCACTTGAGTATCACATCTGAGATCACTAAAGGCATCTTACCGAAAGAGATTGTATTACATAATCAAAGAAGCTTTTAGCATTTTTATTCAACCATCTTGTAATCAATCATGAGGATTACATCTCTACATATAATAAGACTAACGATAAAGATAATGAGGATAAATAACAATGATAAATATAACGATTATTCTAATAATAATTAGGAAATAATCCTAAAAGCTATACTAACAATAGTGGAATATTGTTTAAGATAATAATCATAAGAATAACTGGATTAAAGCTAAAGAAAAATCAACCTACTATTAGCTCTACTCTTGCATTCCTCATCAAGTAGGGATAAATGTTTCTCTCTTATGCTTGTTTCTGTGAATTCAACATATTCTGTAGTCATGTTCATCATTTGTGCATCATAAACTTCTTGATGTTAACCTTATTTCTGCATCGACCTTCTTGCTGATCTTTCACCATTAGATCCCACAAGATTCCTAGTGAGTTGTCTCACTTCGCAGCCTTAGTGTTGGACTTTGCTTATCATCTCTTACAAAATTAAGCTCAGTGTTGTTCAACAGCAGCAGCTGTATGCTACATCATTTCATTTTTCTTCTTCTAGGTTTCTTAAGATTTCTTAAAGTTTCACTTTTGTGGCTAGTATGGGACATGACTAGTACCTCTTCAGTCTTTTATAGGCATGTTGTTTTTTATTTGCACATCTAATTAGTATGTTGTTATACTACTGTATTGTCTGTTTCCTCAGCCTCATATTGCTGCATTATTTATTTGCTGTTTTTGCAAATACGCTGTCTTTTCGGCCCAAGTTTTATTTTCTTTTAATCTTTTCTTGGAATAATTTAGATAAGGGCTTATTATTGTCCTAAATTGGGCAAAAGGGTAAAGTGAATTAATTTAATAGAAATCTTCTCTGGCTATTTATGTCATGCTTGTATATCAATTGTGTTGCATTTATCTGTTTCAGTGTTGCTAAGCATCTGGAGTCTGCTAATACGATGTTTTCATTTATTTGGTGGATTGTTGGATTCTATTGGGTGTCTTCTGGTGGTCAACATCTTACTATGAATGCACCTCAACTATACTGGTTTGTCTTTCTTCCCCTAGGAAGATTTAATATGAAAATAGTGTGCAATTTTCATCTGGATAATTTATGCATGACTTCTTTTCCAGGCTCTGTATTACATTCTTGGCATTTGATGTGTTTTTTGTCGTTATCTGCGTTGCTGTGGCATGTGTTGTTGGTATTGCTGTTTGCTGCTGTCTACCTTGTATTATTGCAATCTTGTATGCGGTGGCTGATCAGGTAATTAATTTCTTACACAATAGTTTTTGGTCCCGTTGATGGCCATCTAAGCAGCATTATGATACTTCTTGGCATGCGTGTCTGTTGTAGCCGACAAATGAATTTCTCTGGTACTCAATTTTGTTGGTTCGACTAGCAAGGCTTCTACTTTGTGATCGAGAGGTAGAAACAACCTCTCTGCAAAATCAAGGGGAAAACTCTCTACAAAACTTCCTTCCATGATCCTTGTGCGATTAGTCTTTGGTGCTTTAGGATCGCTCCTTTACACAATTTTGTTGGTAAACTCGATTGTGAAACCGTATGTTTCCAAAATAAAGGGAAGGGATGCACTAAAAAACTTCCCTTTCTGACCTTTACATAGCCATTTGGTGGCCCAGGGGTTGCCCTCTTACTCTCTTTGTTAAACTAGCTTAGGAGAAGATTAGAGAAAAGAGATCTCTTAGTCCTTAAAACATGCAGAAATGGATTATTTGGAAACATGGATCCTATAAGATGAAAGGAAATTTGAACATGGAGGTTCTTTATCCCCCCTTTCTCCCTTCTTGCCTTGGATATACTCTTTAAGTGTTGAAATTACGTTTTGAAATTTGGCAGGCTCTTTTTGTTCTCTCATTTCTGAGCTTATGACAATCTTCAAGGAGGCTTGGTATATAGTTAAGTCGGATAAAGCACAAACCATAGCAGAAGACACAACCACTTACTTTGTCTAGTACACGTAGTTGCATCAGGGCTGTTCTGAAATGTGGTAAACTACCATTTGAAGTGTCAATTTTGTGTGCATATAAATTATCATATTGTTAAGTATTGTAAAGTTTGGTTACCTTTACTTGTAGTAATGTTGGTATTTCTTCTTTTAGGCTTGATGTTATTTATGTACATATTTTTTGTAATCTCATTTAGAAAGAAATAAGAATATATTACCAGATTTGAGAAGTAACATATATAATACCCAATTTTGATTTGAAGTACTACTTTAAGTACTTCATATTTTTAAATATGATGAGCAATCAATTGTAAAATTATCATAGATAACGAACAGTGGAACTTGAAATTTACAGTTTTAAGATAACATAGAAGAAACGCTATAATTCTAGCAGGTTTAGTAAATAACTTTGTTCTTTTAGTTCAATAAGCTCAAATGTAGACTGTAGTGTCAGTTGAAGTGTATAGTTATCAGATTACTTGATCATTGCGCCCAGTATGTTCACGTAGGAACGTAATCATGATTGGTGGACTTCTTTAGAAAGATGAATCATATTGTTTCTGTCTCTGTGTTACAGTAAATTGCAAGGAATATCCATTTCCCTTCAATTAGTCTTTTTTAAGGTCCCCGTTGTAGTAACGATGTGGATTACTTTACGATTCTAGACATGAAGTGTCGATATAACTAACTGCTATTATTTCTTCTTGAATGTGATAGGACACATCCCAACTCTTTCCTCCAATTAGATAGTTCTCCCTTGTTATGCGATATGGTTTGAGTGATAATGGTTTCTTTAGTGCAAAATTTCGGACAAAAGTAAAGGGAGGTGTTGGAGTCTCATATTGGTTAGACTTGGACCATTTCTTCTCTATGTATGTTGGAGCCTCCCTTCTCTCCTCGAGGGCTCTCTTGGAGAGTAAATTTGGGGCTTCCACATATTCTCACATGGTATAAAAACCAAGTTCTACCACTCTAGAGACTCGACACTCTGGGGCAATCTGTACTCGTGTAGTGGTAGCCCCCTCTTGCCACTCTGCCATAATTCGTGTCCATCTAGCATTTGAAGGAAGGGGCGTGTTGGAGTAGACTTGGACCATTTCTTCTCTATATATGTTGGAGCCTCTCTTCTATCATCAAAGGCTCTTTTGGAGAATAAATTTGGGGCTTCTACATATTCTCACATGGTATCAGTCTACCACTCTAGGGACTCGACACTCTGGGACAATCTGTACTCGTCTAGCCCCCTCTCCGGACTATTTGTATCTGGCTAGCCTCTATAGGACGAGGCGTGTTGGAGTCTCACATCGCTAGACTCAGACCATTTCTCCTCTATATGTTGGAGGCCCCCCTTCTCTCCTTAAATTTGAGGCTTCCACATATTCTCGCAGGAGGTGGGTAATAATTTCAGGAGTTGTAGGTTGTGGGAAACGATGGATTTCAAGGACTTCCAGTGAAATAAATAGTTGTCTAATAATGAAAATGACAGTAACAACAGCAAGAAGAAGCCATGCCCAATGCCAAATCAAAATTGCAATTCCAACTCCATTTGTAAGATCTTAAAATTGAATTTTTTTTAGTTTTAAGCAGTCTAGAGGATGCGATTTCTTCAGGCAATATCAAAAGAATGGGTATTAATTATATATCCAATGTATATATAGGCGAAAGATCGTGTGAGAAGGAGAGTTAAGGTGAAAAGCGCGAGAAGGGATCTGGTCCCTTGATCACCTTTAATCTCAAACTCACCCATGAATCGCACTTAATATGGGGATTGATTTGGTGCATTTCATCTCGGTGCATCTCATCCTAATGTGCATTCAAGGGTGGAGATCCCTTATGCTTCTCACCTTAATTCTTCTTCTCACCGAGTCACCGGAACCCAACCCTGTATGTATATGTGTTTGTATTTAAGTATGAAACATATATCGCTTAATTGCCTACTTTTCTTCTTGATATTTGTATGGGAAGTTGTTGCATGTTGAAGTTAAATTTTACTTTCTGAAATGGTCATCATATTATAGATGTAACATCTCTCTTACTAGTACTCGTGTGATGTTTGATGTTTGTTTCTGCGTAAAAAAATTGAAACAGGAGGGTGCAACCAAGGATGATATTGAACGATTGCCTAAATACAAATTTAAGAGAATAGATGATTTCGAGAAAGAAAATGGCGAGATCCAAAAAGGTTATGGTGGAATAATGGTAGAATGTGATACCGATTCGCCAGTTGAACGTGCTTTATCTGAGGAGGATGCTGTAAGTTTCTCGATCTTACAATCAGTACCGTTCATCAGTTATCTTTATAAACATTTCACTGGTTCATTTCTTATTAAACTGCCTTCCTCGTTTCAAAATAAATGTGCAATGTTTAACCGAAGTATTAGACTAGCAGTCAAATATCTAAAATGCCCGTAGATAACTGCAAGCTAGGGAGATTTTGTGAATCAAAATAAATGCGATCAGTATATTCTAATATGGGTTAAATGGGATAAAAAAGGTGAACTTCTGTTGAAACATATCCAGAAAGAATATTTGGCCGAAACTTGGGTATTTTTCATTTGTAAGGGTGCGTTTGATATGTAGGATAGGACGGGATAAGAGTAAGACAAAACAACAAAACAAAAACTTGTTTCCTGCGTTCGGTGCAGCATTAGACTGGAACAGGACAAGATTATTGAGCAGAACAAAAATATATATATTTTCTGTCCCACCAAGATTATTGGTAAATAACTAAACTACCCATGTCGAATTAAAACCCTAACCGAGTACAAATCTTTCACCTGCCTACCTCATTCTCACCCATCTTGTTCTATCCAGTCCCATAGGAGTATGCACCCTAAGATAATTCTATGGCTTTTAGGAGGAAAAAGATGTTGTATATTCTTGGGTTGGCAGGTGTATAAAATAAACCCATGCTTATAAGTCTTATCCTACATAATTTTCACTTGGTGTATTCATATTAGTCTAAACTACCAAGTAAAACGAAATCATTTCATTGATTTGCCTCCTTCTTATCTTGCAACCACAAGACCATGAACCATTTGGGTTGTGGCACGCTGTTTAAGGCTCAGGGATGTAGTGGAAAATCTCATCTTCCCCGGGTTCAAATCCGGATGCTGCCAAAACCCTTGTGGCCATGGAGGTTCACCTGTGATGACTGCAGGCAATTCGTATTCGTGGTCGCCTGGGGGTTTAGTCGGTGCACGTAAGCTGGCCCAGATACCCACAGTTACCAAAAAAACCACAAGATAGAAGTTCTACGTATACATTTTTAGCTTTAATTTTAAATTCTATAATTGGTGATTGTTCTCTTATCACATAGACCAAAACTTGGCTTCATGTGTTCCAATATCATGTCCTTTGTGCAAGTTTAAGATCTAACCAATAAAAGAAGGAAATTCTCATTATTCATTAATTAAATATTCAAAATAAACTGTTGCTCAAGTAAGAGTATTATCTTGTTTTTAGTCTGGGATTGCTGCGCAAAAAGTCCAACCCCGAAAACATTTGGGCCTGGTAAGCTCGAGCACGGACCTAGACCAAGTATTTTTTTCAAGTCCCGGTTAAAGTCTGGACTGGAAAAACCTGCATAAGTCCTAGAAAAGCCTAATCGGGCTCATTTTCACACCCAAAGCCTGGCCTGGACTTTTGAAGGCCCGTGCCTTGTGCATCCGGAGTCTAAGCAATCGAGCAAAAGAAATTCATTATGTTGCCTTGCTTTCCGCGTTTTCTTTTGTTGGCATAACATGCAAGTCTATTTTAGGATTTGTAATTTTCAATTTCAAATTTTGCAGGTTGTGAACTTCACTCTATTTTTCTAATAAACAAACCAAACCAAACGCACCCAAGTCCCACTCGGATGTAGGGTTAGGGAGGTAGGATATATGCAGACTCTACCTCTACCTCTAACCCAAAGGGTAAAACAATTGTTTTCGTGAAGACCCCGAATTAGTGAAAAAGTGTTTGCAAACTAATGGGTCAACAATTTGGGTTACACACTTTGAAGGCCAGTTCAACAGGCAAATTAAGACTATGCCTTGAGGCTCCTTACCATAGGTGGCTCGTTTGAGTCTCCTTAAGGCTCTATAGGATTAGTCGAGGTGCACCCAAGCTGGCTCGAACAACCACCTTTAAAAAAAGGAAATCCAGGATATGCTCAATGTCACACCCCTAAGGGGTTGTTTAGTTGGTTTTCCATTAAGTCCAGTATAGATAAAGTTGTATGTGTGTATTAATTTCTGTGATATAGATTGAGAAGGTTTTTGTTTGGGAGAGGTTTTTTATAGATGGAAGGAGCGTGTTTTTTAATTGGAAGAGACAGGTTTGATAAAACTTGGCTTTTTGCATAAAGCTTCCCCCCTAGAAGCTTACTAAATAAGTCACTTTCTATATCATTAAAGCATTACCAAATTGTCATATATAGTTGACAATAAGATGCGAGTCCCATTAAGCCGCTAACAAACAGCCCTAAATCTCCCAATGCAAGGATTTGACAAGTTGTAGAAGTGCCCATACTTCCAAGTTCACAAACACCCTACCTTGGTCAATAGTAGGGGTGCATCAATGATGAATCTTTTTTTAAAGTATATAAATAGTATATACTGTAAAACTCACACACACTTGTCACATGTGGTGACTTGAACCCTTGATCTCCTACCAGTAACCCAGATACCGCAGGGCTAATTAGAGCATCTCCAATAGATTCCAGAGAGAAAGTAGGAGAGAGAGAGAGAGTGTGTGTGTGTGTGAAATTCTCCAAATTTGGAGAACTTCCCAAAAATGATTACCATGAGAGAGATTTTTCTATAATATTCCCACCAATAAGAAATTTTGAACTTAAATGTTTTAGGAGAGATAATATTTTATTAAATGTTTTAATTATATAATCAATGTTTGGAGTTGAACGTAATCTTTTTATTGAGATCTTTAATTTTTTTCCTCCATTTTAGAGAAATTTTGGAGAATCTGTTGGATTTGATCTCACCCGTTGGTAGCATTGATGAATCTTGATGCATATTGACAGGAATGCTGCATTTGCCTTTGCACGTACGATGACGGAACCGAACTCCGTGAGCTCCCGTGCTGTCACCATTTTCACACCCCGTGCATCGATAAATGGCTATACATCAACGCCACCTGCCCGCTCTGCAAGTTCAACATACTCAAAAACGGTAACCAAAGTGGGAGCGATGAAGTATAACCAACCAAACCCACAGATATCATTTCCTTCACGATTCTTGATCCCAACCCATCTTTTGGTATGTGATTTTTAATGTAAATTCGATACAAGACTCGTGTTCTTAAAGTTTTCGACTTATCGGGATTTGGGATCGAGGACTGAAGAGGGTACCAACCTCTCTTTCTTTTTGCCATATTTATTTGGAGATGTAAAGTTACATATTTTGTGTAGGAATACGGTCTCTAACCGCGGCGTGCATTATTGGTTGTACTCTATGCAATGTAAGTTGTAGGGTTCGGTGTTGTAGCTTACCATAGTGTATGTGTATCATGCATTATTGGTTGTACTCTATGCACTGGAACTTGTATATCTATAGTGTCATGGCTTGAAGAAACTACGGGGTTTTAAAGAAGAAAGTACATCATTTTTCTTTTTTTAACTGTTTTTCTAGCCCAAACCGTGTAATTGATAAGGACCAGTTATAAACTTATAACTGGTCCTCAAGACTCGGTCCACTTTAACCGGCTTGTTTATGTTTTTAAAATTCTAGTATCATTGACCAATTGGGGCGTGTCACTTTTTTGTGTAATTTGGTTCTAACCTATTAAACGGTCCTTATAGAAAGCCTAACTGATGGAAACTAATCGGTTATTGTGGTTTTTTAGCTGGTCAAAGTGTAACCGAACCTAACCCTTAACTAGTCATTTGTCCACCATGCCCACCTTTAGGGATGTAAACGAACTAAACATTCAACGAACCATTCTGCAAGTTCGTCTATTGTTTGTGTTCCTTCATTTGTTCGGTTAAATTAAACAGCTTGTTTGTGTTCGTTTACAGCCCTACCCACCTTTGCTATTCTACTGTTCGAAAAAAAACATAAAGTATTCCCTTGTGGCCACAGAGGTTCAAATGCGGTGACTCTGTGCTACCTGCAAAACAGGTGGTTGCTCTGAGATTAGTCGGCTCACAAAGCGGGTTGGATATCCAGGTTAATAAAAAACATAAAGTAGTAATTATTTCTCTTTTTTTTGTATAATTATTTTATGATATTGGATTTTCTGTTATCTAAATCGCATCTCTCTGTCACATGTACCAGTACCCATTCGGGGAACGTCCATGCGAAGGTTTACGAGTCATATGTTTTGCGGAACTATGTTCTTGTCATGGTTGTATGTCTTTTTTCAGCCTCAATCTATCTATCCCGATATATATCTAGATGTATGATCCAACATACTCATTTTTTCCTGTAATTGTTATTTATACAATGAATAAATGTATCGTATTCAGTGATAAAGAATACGAATTAACAACCGTTGATCCTATGATTTTTGAACCCATAAATAGGTTCTTTAATGTAATTGTAGTTTCGTTGTAAACCATCGGCTTGATCTTGTTGAAAAGGGAGCAAAAAACACTAAACCGTACTCGTAATTTTGTTGTTGTAACATTTGAATAATGAAAAGAGCATCTCTATCAGCTGAGTAGGAAAAGATGGGGTCAATTGAAAGAGAGAAAGAAAAAAGGGGGCAGAAATGTAAAAGGTTGAGCTCAGAAGGGCCTGTGTTGTCAATCTCGAAAGTTAAGCTGACCTGATGGACCCAACCATCAGCAAGGCGTGTCATCACGGCTCAAGTGGGTTGCACCAGCCGGGAATCGAACCTGGGTCTGTACCGTGGCAGGGTACTATTCTACCACTAGACCACTGGTGCTTCTTGTTTATTACTGTCAATTAATATATTTTATCATCAAATATTTTAAATCATTTTACTTACTTTTTTTAAATAATATATATATATATATATAAAACATGTATAAATCTGGCATCACGTGAGATCAGCCTGTTTTCATGAGACTATTTTTTTTACACTTGAAACTTCAAAGCAGAACAGTGTGAAAGTAACTTTCACAGTGTTTTTACTGTGAATATTCGACTTTTTTTTTACCTTCACAAGATTTTGTTGTGAAGTTTCAAGTGTAAAAATCGTGTCTCACAAAAATAGCATTGTTTCACATGTACCCAACCGTGTGTGTATATATATATATATATATATATATATATATATATATAAATGAGACGACGAACCAAATTTATAAACATAAGAGTATAAAAACCCAATGTTATTAATGATAACTTGAAGGAGTATTGGATGATATCATTTGGGGTTGATTTAAACTGTTATTTAAAAATCAATCCAATTCCAATTTGATGCAGCGGTTATAACTCAACTTTATGAAATGACCTTCTATGTTTTAACTACCATTATATAAACATATACATTCACGATATAGGCCTAAACAGTAAATCTTTTTCAAACAGGTATTAGTATTGCTGAATGGTTTTGTGTATAATAATTAAGGGGCTGTTTGTTTGGCTCTTAATGGTGATATTAAGAGCCAACCTCTTAATCGGTAAGAGGTAAGAAGTGTTTGGCAAAAAAAATCAAGCCTCTTAATGGTTACATAACCCTCTTAACCATTTTGCATCCAATGGTTCACTCAACCATTCAGACTTCTATTTTTCCAAGATTACCCTTCCCACCCCTTCTTCCCAACCCTCTCTTCACGCACGTCGCTCCGTCTCCGGTAGCCGGTAGCCTCCACCATCTCCGTCCCCGTCTCCGGTAGCCTCCACCATCTCCGTCCCCGTCTCCGGCAACCTCCACCATCTCCCTCCCCGTCTCCGGTAGTGACCGGAAAATAGCCTGTGACTCTCGCCGATGACCGAAAAATAGCCTGTGAGACTCTCGCCTGTGAGACTCTCGCCGGTTGTCGCTCGATCGGTGATGGTCAATGGTATCTTCGATTGTGAGACTCCACAGCTTCTACAGCTTCTACAGCTTCCGTCTCCGGGGTAACCTCCACCATCTCCGTCCCCGTCTTCGGTTGTCGCTCGATCGGTGATAGCCTGTGAGACTCCACAGCTTCCATCGCCGGCGACCTTCCATAGCTTCGATTTTGGTCGCCAGTCCCTTAACAGTAGCACAGCTTCGATTAGGTTTTCTTCCATTAGGTTTTCTTTCTTCAATTTTTAGTCGTTAGGTAAACCATAATGAAACTGGATGATCACTAAAAAAACAAAGAGGATTAAAATGATAATTTGCTTTTATTCAGAAAACAGTTACCAAACAACATTATTTCATTCAACACTTAACCATTCTGACCCTCTTAACCATTCTGACCACTTAGCCATTCTGCACCAAACCATTCAGCAACTGCCAAACAGCCCCTTAAGTAGTCAAAATGATTAAGAGGTTTCTTATGATATAGTGCAAAATGAAATATAATTGTTTGGTAATTGTTTACAATGAAATTAGGGCTATTAATGGTTAAGGGAGGCTGAGGATACAAAATCATTCAGAGGGTTTTAGAATCATTAAAAGACAAAAAAATTTTTTGTCAAACAAGATTCACATCTTAATGATACAGAATTTGACTCTTAATGGAATTATTAAAAAATAAACAATCAACCCCTAAAATGTAAGATTATGTGTATTTTTTTTATCTTCTTTAATCAGTATAAAATTTGGTGTAAATGAATAGTGTTGCATTAAATTTGACGTTAAGAGGTTGTTTGTTTACCTCTTAATAGTTTCATTAAGAGACAACTTCTGAATTGTTAACATGTGAATCTTGTTTGGCAAAAAAAAAAAAGTCAGACTCTTAATGGTTTTAAAACCCTCTGAATGATTTTGTATCATGGATCTCACTTAACCATTAAGAGCCCTAATTTCATTGTACACAATTACCAAACAATTATATTTCATTTTGCACTATATCATGAGAGCCTCTTAATCATTCTGACCAATTAATCATTCTGCAACGAGCCATTCAGCAATTGCCAAACAACCATTTACTCTTTACGGCAATTTTTATTTAGATTTGGGGCTAACTTTCTTAAAGTTATGAAGGTAAAAAAAGCCGAATCTTCAGTTTTTAGTAATTTGGTTAGGATTGATTTGCTTATCGAGGTTAATTTGGGACTAAGTATTCAATGCAACCATACCTTTTGAAGATTTGATGAGTAGATAATCAAATATAACAGTTTTAAAAACGTACTGATAATTTAAAAAATATTAATCAGTTAAGATGCTACAACTGATAACTTTGTTTTCATTCATATTATGTGTAACAGTTATTTAAAATCATCATCAGTATACATTTTTTCTAATATTTTCATAATATAAACATACAAAATGTAAGTACTAAAAATAATTGCAGAGTATTTATGATATTTAATAAAGATTAGATCAAAAAATATTCAATATTGAACTCATTTTGAAGATATCACGAGATGGTTATAATGGTTTAATTTATAAAAAAAAACGTATTTTAATTAATATATGATTATGTATATTAATAAGATAAAAATGTAGAATGAAAAATGAAAAAGTATAAGATATAATAAAAAAAATTATGAAAGTAGATTGCTATTTCATGCATTTAAGCCTAAAATAAATAAATAAGTATAAGTAAAATGTTTAGGGTCTGTTTGTTTTTTCAAAATTACCTATGAAGTCTGATTTGTTTAGATGTTTGGGTATTAAGAACGTTTGTTTTATTTTTAAAATAAGAGCTTAAAAGCTTTAAATGTCCTCTGAAAATTTAAGTGGTAAACGTATCCCTTAATATCTTTTAATCCCATTTGGCCCTCTATCAAATGTTTCAATTTTGGGGGTTGGAAAAGATTTGTTAGAAAAAAACTATTTATCTTTTACACTTTTGTAAAAAAAACTATTTATCTTTTATATTTTTGCACTAGTTTGACCGATTCAGATTTCAAACTTCAAATGTAAAAACAAACAATCTTACTGATCCAAATTTCAGACTCCATGACCACCTCTTATAAATCAGAAGTGAAATCAGACTCCAGATTTTATCATCTCTTAAAAAACAAACGTCACCTAAGTGTTAAAAATATTTTCATGGTATCTATGATATATAATAATATGATTGAATGTAAAAATATTCAATATTGAACATATTTTGAAGATATTGACAAGACAATTATAATTACGTAACTTGTTAAAAGAAACATATTTTAGTTAATATACGATTATGTATGTTAATATGATAAATATGTAAAATGAAAAATAAAAAAGTAAAGGTACTAAAATTAGTTAAATAAGAAAATATAAGGATATAAAGTGTAATTTTAAAACTAGAAAGGATTATGTTTGTGAGAGACGTAAATGAGTAGGAGGGGATACGTTTAACAACCCCGTAAACAAATGAAAAGAAAGTTTGAGGTAAACTTATTAAATGCTTACTTGATAAGTGCTTACCGGATAAATTTACTTATCAGATGAACATGACAAGGGTCAAGAATCTTATTGGATAAGAACGATGAGAAGATGAATAATCTTACCTGGTAAGGGAAGATGATGACTCTTACTCAAGTAAGCGCTTACCCAGTAAATTGGTACATTCGATGTTTTGATGCACCAAAATCTTACACATCAAAATAAATTATAGTGTTGACTTATATCGATAAATATTTACCGGGTAAGCATTTGGGTAAACGGTCCCTAAAATGTAACAAAATAGCTACAAACAATCTCCAATCATATCAACTATTAAGGGTTATATGAAATATAAAATTTGAAAAAAAAAAAGAAGAGGGGGCAGAAATGTAAAAAGTTGAGCTCAGAAGGGCCTGTGTTGTCAATCTTGAGAATCAAGCTGAATTGATGGACCCAACCATCAGCTAGGCGTGTCATCATGGCTCAAATGGGTTGGCACCTGCCGGGTATTGAACCCGGGTCCCCATTGAATGGTTAAAGGATGCCCATGAACAAAATCATTTAGATGGTTTTAGAACCATTAATAGACATATTTTTTTTCACGAAACAAGATTTACCTTTTGACAATTCAGATGTTGCTTCTTAATGGAACTATTAAAATTGCAACACCCCAAGATCATATTTGTATATAAACATATATTTCCATATATCAAGTAAATATAATTTACATAATTGATCCCATTATTTAGAAAAGCTACAATACAAAATAGCTACCAAATTTTTCTACAAAATCACTACACAAAACTTGTATACATAACAAATATTCCAAATTTTTCTATAAAATCACTATACAAAACTTGTATACTTAATTAGTTCATATGTAAATCATACGAGTTCATATATGAATTGATTAAAATAGTTTATATGTGAATTACACGAGTTCACATATGAATATATAGTTCATATGTTAATTACACGGGTTCACATATGAATATATAGTTCATATATGAACCCATTTACCGCCTATTTGTAATAGTTACATAACTTTCCTCTTTATGTTTTTGCAAAATCACAATTCTTAACCAGTCAAATCCAATCTTGACCGTATGAAGGGCTAGAATCACTTATTTACTTCTCAATGTTTGATGATGGAAAATTGAGAGAGAAATATGGAGAAACTAGAGAGAATTTTCGTGTCTAACTTGCCAGAAATCAGTCAACATATATATATATATATATATATATATATATATATATAGGGGAACGATCAAATGCAAACCACTCAATTTGTACAAACCGTGCAAACCACATTCAACCAATCATAATTTTTCATTTTGTTCATTTTTTTTGTAATTATGAGAGGTTGATCGATCATTTTTATTGTGGAAGGTGTTAATCATAGATATTATCATCTTCATTATTTTAATTTTAGAGAAATACATGAAACARTTTCATTAATGTTAGAGAAATACATRAAACARTTTCATTAAGTATTATATGAAACAATTTCACAACCATATATGAAACAACTTCATCAAAAAAAGTATTATATGAAACAATTTCACAAGATTAAACAATTTCATGAAAAAATTTCATAATATTAAACAATGAAATCGACAGATGAAGGTGGTTTGCACGGTTTACACAAATGAAAGCGATTTTCATATGATCACTCCTCTATATATATATAGTGGCGGATCCAAAATTTTTGGTGATGGAGGTCAGAGTTTAAATCTTATCCATGTGGTTGACAATCTCATCTAATAAGATGTATTCGTCTTATTGATCTCTTTGATTAGAGTGATACTTGGTACACAAAACTGTTTCAAATGGATCCCAAGGAATATCATTCAAATTAATATTCCTAACTCTAACAACCAACAATCAGCCATCAACTAATAAACCCTCATAATGAAGTCATAGATTCACCCCTACGTATGTATACGTCTCCATCCTCAACTGCATACAGAATACTCCAGACTCATGGATGCCCTAAGGTAAAGGAATGTGAAACTCTGGTCCTCGTGGAAGCCATTTCATAGGTTCAAAGAATAGATATCAGATATCTTTGAATGAGACTCTCAGGTAATTCCCTCGACCAACAGTACAAAATATTTTGGTTTTATCCACACTTGAACTCACAGTTGGGGATGATATAGGAGGTATCTAGTCCCTTATAAAGGCAACATCGTTTACCATCCCTAACCAATGTGGGATCTCACATAGTAAACGAGAGGAAATATTGAATTCAGAGCAAACATGGCAACATGCAACAATGTCTTTAGCTATTACAAGTTCAACCATCATTCAAGGTTCAATATTGTACTAAAAGAGAGAAAGGAGTTACCCATACGTTAACAAGGCGGTCACAATTCTATGCCTCAACTACCATTGGTGTGGGATCTCTTAACGGTCGTTTATCAATCACTTACCTGATAAAGGCTTACCAAGTGAGATCACTTACCTTATTGATGTATCAGATGAACATGACAAGTACCGAGAGTCTTACCCGATAAGTAAGGCTGACAACTCTTACCCGATAAGTAAGACTGACAACTCTTACCCGATAAGTGCTTACGGGTAAATTGTTGCATACAATGTCGTTTTGATTGATTAAAAATCTCACTTAACCCTGATAAAATAAGTGAGAGTATTAATTATTACTGATAAGCCTTTGGGTAAACAACCCTTTAATTGGGTATTTGATTGTTTGAACTCCTTTTATAATTCCATTGAGCATCAATAAAAGCCCTTTTATGTAAAAAAAAAGGAAATGAAATGAAAAAAGGGAAACATGGTTGGCAAATGTTAGCATATAAGTGTGTGTATATATATATATATATAGTTTGTTTCAAATACAACCCGTCGTATTTGTACAACCAATGTAACCCAATAAATTGAGATATTTACGGAAATTATGAGAGTTCATTTATTATGATTTGAATATTTATAGAAGATGAATATGGTTCATTAATTATGATCAATATTTTTTATTAGGAAACAATCAAAACTTCTATGAAATCACATATTAATCAAATGAAATGGACGATTGAGATTGAGTTGTATTGGTTGCACAAATGTCAAAGGTTGTATAATAACCAACATATATATATATATATATATATATATATATAGGGTTGGGTTCACGTGAGACCAACCTGTTTTCGTGAGACCCGTGAGACCACATTTTTACACGTAAACTTCACAGCAAAAACACTGTGAAGGTTTTAAAAAGTCGAACCTTCACAGCAAAARCACTGTGAAGGTTTTAAAAAGTTACCTTCACAGCATTTTGCTATGAAGTTTCAAGTGTAAAATGCTGGTCTCACGGGTCTCACGAAAACAGGCTGGTCTCACATGATCCCAAGTCTATATATATATATATATATATGACAAATAAAACAAATAAATTCATACACTCATTTTATTTATGGTGAGGTTTGAACCTTTGACCTCTTAGGAGGCCAATGACTCACATACAACTAGACCAAAAGCCTTCTGGTAGTGTCCACAATCGACAAGATAGTTGGATGTTCTGAGACCTTATCACTATATAAGCTTTGTAATAATACAAACAACGGTTGCAGTTATTTCTCTCTCATCTTTCTATATTTTTCTCTTCTGTTTACATCAAGTTTTAGCAAAACTATAAAACAGAAAAGAAAAGAAAAAAAACAAGGAAACGAAGAAAAGGAAATTATGGTGGGCAAAATTATAAAACAGAATAGAAAAGAGGGGGCAGAAATGTAAAAAGTTGAGCTCAGAAGGGCCAGTTTTGTATAATCTTGAAAATCAAGCTAATCTGATGGACCCACCATCAGCTAGGCGTGTCATCACAGCTCAATGAGTCGCACCAGCCGGGAATCGTACCCGGGTTGTACCTTGTCGGATAGTATTCTACCACTAGAACACTGATACTTTTTATTTTATATATTTCAATTAATTTAATTTTATATATTAATATTTTAAATCATTTTTTTCATTTTTTCCCTTTTTATCTATATTACATTAATAAACATTTAGACCAAAAGACTTAAAGCATAAGGTACTATCAATTTATGTAAGAGATTCAAAAATCTATTAAGTACAAACTATTATACATAATGTACAAATGCTTAAAACATACTGTAACATCCCAAAGCCCAAAGCAACAAACTAGCCCAATAACTTCGAATCCAACTTAAAACCATGATGGAAGTTATTAGTAGCCCACTACTTGGGACTTATAAGAAGCTAACAATTCTCACTTTCTATCCATGTGGGACGAGTTGTTACACATACCATTTGTTTGGTCAAAGTTTCATATTTAAGTAAGTCATATTTACATGAAAAAGATATGTTTGGTCTTCCAAAGTTGATTGACACTTTGTTTGTTTCCTATTTAGAACCCAAATTCAAATTCAAAGTTCTTCTTTCTCTTGAAGTAAACTGAAATTTGAAGCAACAATATTAAAAAGGGTTTCAGATCCTGCATGTACCCTACCCCAACCCTTCAACTTTATATGGGTTTAGAAACTCAACATGTGTGCAATTATTTTTCCAATCGATCTTGCTAGTACACCATATTAACCTTCAACTTTATATATTAGTTGATTTGTAAAATAACCACACAAACTCATGATTTAATACTAAACTAATGTTTCAAAATTGTGATTCACTCGCACTGCATTGCGCATATATATATATATATATATATATATATATATATATATATTATACGACCAACCTAATTTATAAAACATATGGGTTGTTTGTAGGGGTGTAAATGATGCGAGTCGAGCTCGAACTTGACTCAAAAACTCACGAGTAGTTAAAAGCTAAACTCAATTGCAATTTTTAAACTCGAGCTCGAACTCGTTTGAAGCTCGAACTCCTACTCGGATCAAGCTCGAACTCGAACTCGAACTCTAATCATGCTCACTCGTCGAAATTTATAAAATTTTAAGGTCTTCTCTTATAAATTATAAAACTTAGGGTGCGTTTGGTTTGCGGGATTGGAATGGATTTGGGGGGATTTGGATTTGAAATCCATTCCAATCCTGTGTTTGGTTTGTAGGAATGGTAGGATTTCAAATCCATTGATTCATTTAAAATCCCATGAACCATGGATTTCAAAATCCTTTGAAAATACATGGGATTTCAAAATCCCATCCCCGTGGGATTTCATCTTCTCCATCATCGTGCTGTCTCCATCTTCTCCCATCGATTGCTTCACCCATCGCTTCCCTCCCATACGCCTCCCGCTTCCTTCACCCATCGCTTCCCTCCCATCGATTGCTTCACCCACGCCTCCCGCTTCCTTCACCCGTCGCGTCCCTTGCGAAGCTGTGCCCTAGGTTTGCCTCCTCACCGGTGCTGTCTTCCTCGCCGGTGCTGTCTTCCTTCCCGTCGCGTCCCTTGTGAAGCTGTGCCCTAGGTTTGCCTCCTCGCCGGTGCTGTTTTCCTCGCCGGTGCTGCTTCCTTCCTGTTTGCCGGCGTCTCCCATCACTCAGCAGGTAATCGATTAACCCCTTTTCTATAGCATTAGAAATGCTCGATTCTGGTCTGCTTGAATAGAAAATGCACAAGGGTTCTGCCCTAATTTCCTGTAATCAAATCCAAATCCTGCAAACCAAACACAGGAATGGATTTTAAATCCAATCCAATCCAAATCCCATGGAATCCAAATCCCTCCAGGAATCCAAATCCCTCAGAAACATTCCCGCAAACCAAACGCACCCTTAAAGTGTTCTTTTAAATTTTAAAGAACTAAAGGGTGCACAAACTTAATCATAAAAAAAACAAAGTTACAAACTCCATTCACATCCCTCTTTTTTTTTAACAACTCTCAATCCTTTTTTTATTATCTCTTTTCCAATGTGGGGCAACTTCACCAACACTTCTATAGTTTTTTTTGTCTTTTTTAATTATGATTTTAATAAGAAAAATTATTGATATAGTTTTTATAATAAAAAATGCACAATATTATTCAAATATATAAAAACATAAGACAATTTTATTACATCATATTATACATGTTATATATAAAAGTGGTTATATTTTTAAAACTAACTATATATAAAAAATCGAGTATCTCACGAGTTTTTCAAGTCGGGTATTCGGTAGTTCGAGTCAACTCGTTAATATGTCGAGTCAAGTTCAAGTTTGAGCCGAGTCTATTCGAGTCGAGTTTGGATCGAGTCGATCTCGAATAGCTTGCGAGTTGTCTCGTATCATTAACACACCTAGTTGTTTGTTTACCTCTTAATAGTTTTATTAAGGGGCAGTCTCTAAATTATTAAAAGTTGAATCTTGTTTTGACAAAAAAAGTTTGTCTCTTAATAGTTCTAAAACCCTCTGAATGATTTTGTATTATGTGTCTCCCTTAACCATTCAGCACCCTAATTTCATTGTATAATTATCAAACAATTATATTTCATTTTACACTATATTACGATAGCCTCTTAATCATTCTGACCACTTAATCATTCTTCACAAAATCATTCAGCAACTGCTAAACAGTAATTTTATGGATGCCCTAAGGTAAAGGAATGTGAAGCTCTGGTCCTCGTGGAAGTCATTTCATAGATTCAAATAATGGATATCAGTTATCTATGAATGAGACTCTCAGGTAATTCATTCGACCAACAATACAAGATATTGTCGTTTTATCCACATTTGAACTTATAGTTTTAAAACGCAGATGATACAAGAGGTATCTAGTCCCTTATAAAGCAACATTGATTTCTATCCCTGATCAATTTGGGATCTCACACAGTAAATGAGAGGAAATACTGAATTTAGAGCAAACATGGCAACATGCAACGATCTCTTTAGCTATTACAAGGTCAACCATAATTCAAGGTTCAGTATTGTACTAAAAGAGAGAAAGGAGTTGCCTGTACATTAACAAGGCAGTCACAATTCTATGCATCAACTACCATTGGTGTGGCCTTTCTTAGGGGTCGTTTATCAATCACTTACCCGGTAAAGGCTTACCAGGTGAGGTCACTTACCTTATTGATCCATCGGATGGACATGACAAATACTGAGAGTCTTACCCGGTAAGTAAGGATGGCGACTCTTACCCGATAAGTGCTTACGGTAAATTGTTGCATAAAATACCATTTTGATAGATTAAAAATTTTCCCTCGATAAAATAACTGAAAGTATTGACTAATACTGATAAGCCTTTGGGTAAACAACCCTTTAATTGGGTATTTGATTGCTTGAACTCCTTTTATGATTTCAATGAGCATTAATAAAAGTTCTTTTATGTCAAAAAAAA